CCCCAAAACCCCAAAACCCCAAAACCCCAAAACCCCTAATAATAGTATTAAGATTGAAAGTTTATTCTTCCGCCAAGCTTAGTCAGGAAATTAAACTTATATGACAAACTTCTCACCTGTTTGTAAAGAGAATCCCATTAATCTAATCTTCAAATCCGGGATATTCCAGAATATGTCTCTTATCTGTTCCTCTGAGCAGTCTCAGTTCATATCAATTTTGCACTCAGAAAAGTTTAAAGACGTATCCTTCATTGCTTGCAGTAATAAAGGAAGTACTGTTATGAACTCTTGGCCTTTTTCACAGAGAAATGTATTTCAGCTGTCAAAATATATTTTATTTTATTCTAAAAACTTTTGTTGGTGACAATTTTAGACCATCAGGCAACAAAATTCAGAATTGGAATCAGAGTCATCCTATTGATCCAGTAGAGTTGAATATTTTCTGAATAGATCTAGAAGGGATCCTGCATTTTTAGGGAATTTAAATTACTTTATCTTTTCAAAATCAATTCTGTTGGTGACTGCAGGAATAAGCTTGTACAAAGACTTTGGTATTAAATTAAGCGCTTGTGTCGATTGAGGCATCTTTTCAAATCCAAAGTATAGCTTGTTCAATCTGTAAAATTTTATTTTTGATAAGATTTTAATGAGAAAAGCCTTGTCTGGTGTGCTATTATTCACGAATCTGATTATTTCAGGATCATTTATTCTTCAATTTCTGTGTTTCAGGTATTTGAATATAGGATAATATGGGTGCTATATTTTTATTGGACATCATTTACATTTAAGCTATAATTCAGATTTCTGGTTGATAGTTTTCCTTTTTCTCTATAGATTTTATTACTCATTCCGAAATTCATAAATATTTTGAGATTTTAGCAATAACATACAATTTTACATTAGTTAGATTTTTATATTCGAGAAAATTGCGGTTTTTCTTTTTGGCATCCGTTGATTTTAATAAAATAATGCACTACTTAAAACTAAATTCTCTAACTCAAAACATTAGCTTACTTTACTTGGTGTCAAACAAGTGCAAATCTAGAACTATCATAAGCTGAAATATTATCTTCAAACAAAGCTTCTTCTTCCAAAACCTTAAGCTCATCTTTTTCAACTAATTGAATACTTTGAAACTTCTCCATTTCTAAAATAAACTATTATAAAATTCAATTATTTACAGAAGAAAAGGGGTTTTGGGGTTTTGGGGTTTTGGGGTTTTGGGG